GAGCCATACATTGTGCTGAGAACACTATAGACATACCAAGCCAAGAATAGATTTTATAATGATTTGCATGTAAGAACTTTAATGATGATGTCTGATATGGGCTATTCATGCCTGTGCCACCTCTTGTGGTGGCTCTGTTCTCAAAGTTTTTTCCTTTTTTGTGCAAATGTTGCATATGGTTTTGTTTAATTCTGAAGACCTACTGTTAACTGCTTTTTATGTACAGGTATTTTCCTACACATTTTGTGACACTACCATAGTGTCACAAAAGTAAAAAGTAAAGAGCAGGTACAATTTTCAAGGTGTGGGGTTCAAGTCAGGTTTAGTGTCTAAGGGTAATTTTACATTCTGTAAAGTCATTCGTCAATGGGAATAGATTTTGAATTAGAAACCAGGCTTACTTCAGCGTTCCATTATTCTTATAACCACCTGTTGTATCAGGTAGCCTAGTTGGGTTGAAGTTCTGAATCATCACTGCTAGGGGCATTTTCATTTACCTTAATACAGTGTTAACGAACATGGGGCGTATGCCCCACGTGGGCAGTTTGAAGATTATGGAGTGCATGTATAACTGTTTTTCCCCAATAATCACTAATTGAACAACTAACATACTTTTCATTTACTAAAACAAGTATTGATATTGTCACAACAGTTTAAAAAACGTCATTTTGCTAAAAAATTACAAATTCTCAATGGTGGACTCAGGCGGGTCATAGACCAAAATGCCAAATAGACCATAAATCACCTGAGCAAAATGGTCTGATTTGAATGAAAGATTTTCTGACATGAAAGAAACTGGTTTTCCACCTTGGATAACTCTGCCAATGCTAGTGGATTTGCAATACAGTGGTACCTTGGGTTACGAACGTCCCCGTTTACGAACTTTTCGGGTTTCGAGCCCGTTTTGTTCGGAAAATTTGAATCAGGATACGAGTTTGTTGTTACGTGTACAGCTGACCTAGCATGTGGTGGCATGGCGATCGTGCCTCAGTTTACCAGTGCCTCGCGCCCAGTGACTATCCCGCCCGAATTCTTCACAAGAATTTACAGTTATTTGTCGGATTTTTAGCCATTTGAGCATAAAAGTTGTTATTATATATCTCGCCATGGGTTCAAAGAAAGCCAGTGGTAAGGTTCAAGGCAAGAAATTGCATGTGAAAATGACAATAGAGGAAAAACAAGAGATCATTCATAAGAATGCAAATGAAACTCGTGTTGTTGAACTAGCCAGGCAGTACAACAAATCCATGTCAACGATATGCACTGTACTTGCCACGAAAAAGGACATTATGAGTACTAAAGTGGCAAAAAGCATATCAACAACCATGAAACAAAGACCACAAATACTTGAGGATGTGGAAAAGTTGTTATTAATTTGGATACACAAGGAGGAGTTAGTGGGTGATAGTGTTTCAGAGGCCATTTGTGAGAAAGTCAGGGTATTGCACGAAGACCTTGTAAAGAGAACCCCTGGAATAAGTGGAGATACGATAGACTTTAAGGCAAGCAGGGGATAGTTTGAAAAATTTAGAAAAAGAAGTGGTATTCATAGTGTTGTGAGGCATGGGGAGGCTGCCAGCTCAGACAAACCAGCAGCTGAAAGATTTATTGAAGAATTTAAAGATTTTGTAGAGGCCGAGGGATACCTACCGCAACACGTGTTTAATTGTGATGAGACAGGACTGTTCTGGAAAAGATTGCCCAAGAGGACATGCATTACCAAGGAGGAGAAATCATTGCCCTGACACAAGCCTATGAAAGATAGGTTTACCTATAAAGATAGGTTTAGGTGGTGTGGAAATGCAAGTGGTGATTTGAAAATTAAACCATTGCTTGTTTATCATTCTGAAAATCCAAGGGTTTTCAAAAAGTATGGTGTGCAGAAAAACCAAATGTGTGAGATATGGAGGGCCAATAATAAGGCATGGGTAACTAGGATTTTTTTTACGGAGTGGATGAATGATGTGGTGTGCCCTGCCATACAAAAATATCTGCAGGAGAAAAGTTTGCCACTCAAGGCCCTGCATCTCCTAGACAATGCTCATGCTCATCCTCCAGGCTTGGAAGATGCATTGTTGAACAGATATAATTTTCTCACAATAAAGTTCCTTCCTCCTAACACCACTCCTCTAATTCAGCATATGGACCAGAAAATCATAGTGAATTTCAAGAAACTTTATGAAAGGGCACTTTTCCAACAATGTTTTGAAGTGACTGAAGCCACAAAACTCACCCTCAAAGAGTTTTGGAAACACCATTTTAACATTTGTAGTGCTTTAAAACTCTTTGACAAAGCCTGGCAAGTAGTGACTCAAAGAACCCTGATCTCTGTCTGGAGAAAATTGTGGCCTGAATGTGTGACAGAACTAGACTTTGAGGAATTTGAGCCTGTAAATGAAGTGCTTATTGTTGAGGAAATTGTTACTCTGGGCCGGAAAATGGGCTTGGAATTGGATGGTGCTGATGTGGAGGAGTTGGTGGAAGAATACAACGAAGAACTCCAAGCCCTTGAAAAGGAGCAGCAACAAGAGACAGCTGGGGATATTTCTTCGGAGGAAGATGGGGCAGAAGAGAAAGTCCCTTCCTCAACAATTAGGAAGTGGTGTCAGATGTGGGAAGAAATGCAAACTTTTATTGAAACGACTCGCCCAGAGAAATCTGTAGTAGGCCGTTGCATTAATCTTTTCAATGACAATGTGATGCCTCACTACAGACAAATTTTGCGAAGAAGGGAAAAACAATCTTCAATGGATCGTTTCGTTGAGAAAATCAAGCAGTGAGCCACAACCAGGACCTAGTGGTATGCAGGCAAAACCTGCCAGAGTGCACTCTAGAGAAATCTTCACTGCCTGATGTTATAATGGAAGGAGACTTCCCTTCCAAACAGTAACACCTCTCCTTCTCCCAATCTTCCATACGCCAACAGGAGTCATCAGCAAGGGTAGGTAATAACTTGAACATACTTTTGTAGTGTAGATTTGGGTGAATTAGGTATAAAATTTACTTTTAAGTGAAGTTTTTTGAGAGTAGGGAACGGATTAATTCATTTCCTATTATTTCTTATGGGGAAATTAGCTTCGGTTTATGAACCGTCTCCAGGGATGGATTAAATTCTTAAACCGAGCTACCCATATCAATAAGAATTATCAGACATTCAGAACGAGGACTCAAAAACTCATTTAAAATAAAAGGAACAACGGTATGGCTCTACGCTGAAATGGGGAAGATATTAAAATAAGTAATTCAGCAAGAAAATTGCTGTTGCCATTCCCGAGTTCATATTTGGTTGAATGTGGGTTTAGTGGTGCAAGAGATTTATTGGAAAAAATAAAATAATGACTGAATATTACAAACCGTGGTAATTTAAGATTAAAATTAACCAAATCATCAAATAAAAGTGTTTAGCAGCAGATACCAAGTGCAAGGTAATTGATGCTAATTCTATTTTCCACAATAAAGTAGTTCAATTTATATTTTGGATACCCCAAGCTCGGTCATTTATTCTAACATTTATTTATTTGTTATTTACTGTTGTAATGTCAATTATTATTTTATAATTTATTGCAATATATTTAATTTATTGTAATTTAAATCATACATTTTATTAAATTCTTTCATACAAGTTTTAATTTTGAGGTTTAAATAGGGCCTTAATTGAAACAATTCTCCTGATGGCATTTTTTTAACTAGTCAACCAAGGGGAACAGTATTGTAAAAAGTTTTAATGTTTATTAAAAAAAAAAGTGTTTACAAAGAACATAAGAGTAATGTACAAATTGTTTAGGACATTTTAGGTGCTCAGGTTAAAAAAAAAAAAAAAAAAAAAAAAAAAGTTGGGAAACACTGCCTTAATGCTCATAGTTAAAGGGTTAGGCAAGCTCTTGTCCTGTCCTTTGACCAGAAGAGGGGCTTCACATGCTACACATATGAAGCGTATGAAGCCAGCAAAAACCAGCACTTCCCGAATGACAGTGCCTTCCATTCCATCCCCCGGGGTTATTGTAAATGAGATTAAGAGATTTGGATTGTCACAATTTAACACTTTCGCACTCTCGGCGCTCAAAAAAAAATAATACCCTAGATGCTTTCGGCGCTCCGCGCGCCTATGCGGTAAGACCGAAAAAGTGTACACTCTTTTTACTGTCCTGACAATAATTGAAGGCGCACGTATTTACATTTGGTATCACTGTGTTCGCAATGAAATTGTCTATAAGAGCATACCTATAAAATGCCGCCCAAGCATAAGGACTGTCAACACCAAATAAAAAACTATTCAGATCACTCGCCAAGAGCGCCAAACAGCAACAAAATGTTTCCACTCTCTTAATGGTTGCGAAGCCTACAGTTGTCCTACATCGCTAATTGTGGCATCATTGGAATCGCAATAAAATTCTCTACACGGACATATGCATATAAATATAGATTTAATGTCGTAGCACACCCAAAACAATGTGGGAAGTGGCCGAAGTGTTACCCGCGGCAGCATATCGGCGAAACTCACTTTGAAAAGTGTATATTCAATTCACTGTCCTGACATTATTTGTCGATGTATGTATTTCATTTTTGTACCAATGTGCTCGCACAACCCGTTCTCGCAAATTCGTAAAGTCAATATTGACTTATTAAATTTGCGAGAACGGGTTGGCTCGCAATAGAATGTTCTATAAGAACATAAGTATTAAAGGTCACATAAGGATGCGTTCGACCGGCAACATATATAAAAACTACGTCGATTACACTCGTCGTGTCAATAATACAATTGTTTTACCACGATGATTCACTGCCACACCGTTTTCTTTTATAAGCTGTTCGGCTATTAGAGAAAACGTAAATTTCATGGCAAACATTTGTATACTATTCCCAAGTTGATCGGATAATAAATGGATTTTATACAAATATTTTTTCGATGGACTACAGGCGTCGTCTGTTATGCGGTGACGCATAAAAAACGGTGACGACTCATGGATAATCCTAAGCGCGAAAGTGTTAATATACATCAATTTGTGATAATACATTTTATTTTATCAATCTTAATTTTTGTTTAATACAATTGCTTTTCAATACTTTCTTAAATCTGCTGCACAAACAGCTGCATAATACAACAAATGTATACTTATACAGGTTTTATTTGTGCCATGTTGCCAGCATTCAGAATTTCAATCCAATAACCATCAGGGTCTTGAATAAATGCAATATTCTTCATTTTACCTGGAAAGGCAAATAAGTAATTTGTTATTTCATTACATAATTGTTAAAATTGTGTGTACTAGAGCAGCTATACTTTGGGTACTAAGTACGGTATATCATATCAAAAATATTGCCTTTTGAATCTAAATTAAAGCTTACAAACCACCTATAAATCATTAACTTTTGTTAGGTTTCTTACCAATATGACAGCCTGGGAATACTCAAGGATAATTTCCACTAAATCTCAAATTTATTTGATAAAATCAGTAGCATGCATGCATAGACAGGCAAACCACCTGTTACCAAGCTAAGTGTTGAAATGCATCTGTCTGGACTGCAATTTATTTATAATAATAAATAAAAATTATTCATAGCTCTGCTAGTGGCCATAAAAACTATATTGCATAACTATGTTGGTAATACAGTACCATCTACTTGCAATACTTATAACCAAGAACAATAATTACAGTGCTGTATCACTGTGCCACTAATTCCTCAAAACAATTAATTATACCAAATACAGTACTCTTAGAATGTACAATTATATCACCTGGTAGCTTCCAAGGTGAAAAATTAAGGCTTCAAGCAAATCAACAAATTAGTATACAAGGGATTAATTTACAAATAAAGCGAATACCAGTATCTATGACAATCGTATCTTGTCAATCATCATTATGCAGGTATAAGTGGCTAAGAAGACTTTTATCCAAATAGTGATTTTGTATTAACAACAATGTCATACCATGACCCCTTGATATGACAAATTACTGGGAAATTCAGTTAAAGTACTGTGTCATGACTCCAATTACTTAGAATCAGGCTGTTGTTGATAGCAATTACTAATATTTATTTTGTTTGTGGTATTTTTTTTGTAAGTGTACTTACAGGAATGTGGAAGTCACATCCTACAATAGGCTGCTTCATTAAGAGTATTTAAAAAAAAAAAAAAAGTTAAACGTAATGAAATGCCTCTTTCTGGTAGAACCTCGATGGCTCCCTGAAGCTATCTTGCCGAGATTGCTCTATACTATGTCATTGCAGAATTTCTGTTTGGACTACCAGGGACCAAAGGCACAGGGAGCGAGTGACAATTCACTACCCCTATCTGGAAAAACATTCAGAAAGTCAGGGAAGCTTTACTAACCCCCTGTGGGTCAGTGAATGAACCACCATGGAACAGTCAGAATGAACCCAGGGAACAGATCCTGGAGGAAGATGAAACCTCCGAAGGGCCTGCCACACTGCTGCAAATCCGCGCACTGTGCAGTGCACCCAATGGAACAGGCCTGGTCAACAGCACTGAGAGGCTTCATGAGCACTGGTTACAAAATACCAACCCAGAACCAGGGCATTTGTGAACACATTAAGCAATGGGGTAGCAAGACCAGGGTTTGAAGTCATCACTCCAGCGAACCCTGGTTGATACCTGGTTGATGGGGTTCTGGGAGTTCTTCTACTCCCCAAGCCCGGCCCGAGGCCAGGCTCGACTTGTGAGAGTTTTTTCCACCAGGCTGTTGCTTGGAGCGGCCCGCAGGCCCACATACCCACCACAGCCCGGTTGGTCCGGCACTCCTTGGAGGAATAAATCTAGTTTCCTCTTGAATATGTCCACGGTTGTTCCGGCAATATTTCTTATGCTTGCTGGGAGGACGTTGAACAACCGCGGACCTCTGATGTTTATACAGTGTTCTCTGATTGTGCCTATGGCACCTCTGCTCTTCATTGGTTCTATTCTACATTTTCTTCCATGTCGTTCACTCCAGTACGTTGTTATTTTACTGTGTAGATTTGGTACTTGGCCCTCCAGTATCTTCCAGGTGTATATTATTTGATATCTCTCTCGTCTTCTTTCTAGTGAGTACATTTGGAGGGCTTTGAGACGATCCCAATAATTTAGGTGCTTTATTGCATCTATGCGTGCCGTATATGTTCTCTGTATTCCCTCTATTTCAGCAATCTCTCCTGCTCTGAAGGGGGAAGTGAGTACTGAGCAGTACTCAAGACGGGACAACACAAGTGACTTGAAGAGTACAACCATTGTGATGGGATCCCTGGATTTGAAAGTTCTCGTAATCCATCCTATCATTTTTCTGGCTGTCGCAATATTTGCTTGGTTATGCTCCTTAAACGTTAGGTCGTCAGACATTATTATTCCCAAATCCTTTACATGCTGTTTTCCTACTATGGGTACATTTGATTGTGTTTTGTACTCTGTATTATGTTTAAGGTCCTCATTTTTACCGTACCTGAGTACCTGGAATTTATCACTGTTAAACATCATGTTATTTTCTGATGCCCAGTCGAAAACTTTGTTAATATCAGCTTGAAGTTTTTCAATGTCCTCAGCCGAGGTAATTTTCATACTGATTTTTGTGTCATCTGCAAAGGATGATACGGAGCTGTGACTTGTATTTTTGTCTATATCTGATATGAGAATAAGGAAAAGCAGCGGTGCAAGGACTGTACCCTGAGGTACAGAGCTTTTCACTGCACTTGGACTAGATTTTATATGGTTGACAGTTACTCGCTGAGTCCTGTTTGACAGAAAACTGAGTATCCAGCGTCCTACTTTACCGGTTATTCCCATTGACTTCATTTTGTGTGCTATCACGCCATGGTCACATTTATCGAAAGCCTTTGCGAAGTCCGTGTATATCACATCAGCATTCTGTTTCTCTTCTAATGCCTCAGTGACTTTGTCGTAGTGCTCAAGTAGCTGTGAGAGGCACGATCTTCCCGCTCGAAATCCATGTTGGCCTGGGTTGTGAAGGTCATTGGTCTCCATGAAATTGGTACCTGACTCCTAATCACTCTCTCTCAAATACTTTTATGATGTGCGATGTTAGTGCAACTGGTCTATAATTTTTTGCCAGTGCTTTGCTCCCTCCCTTGTGTAGAGGGGCTATGTCTGCTACTTTAAGTGCATCTGGTATCTCCCCCGTGTCCAGGCTCTTCCTCCACACTATACTGAGTGCCTGTGCTACCGGCACTTTGCATTTCTTTATAAATATTGAATTCCATGAGTCTGGACCTGGGGCCGAGTGCATGGGCATGTTTTCAATTTCCCTTTCAAAATTTAGTGCGCTCGTGTTTATATCAGTTATATTTACAGGGGTTTGAATATCCCGCATAAAGAAATTGTCTGGATCTTCCACCTTCATGTTGTTTATCGGAGTGCTAAACATGTCCTCATACTGCTTTTTTAGGATTTCACTAATTTCTTTGTCATCCTCCGTGTATGAACCTTCACTTGTACGAATAGGTCCAATACTGGCAGTGGTTTTTGCTTTTGATTTCGCATATGAGAAGAAATATTTTGGATTTTTCTTTATTTCCTGAATTGCTTTCTGTTCTAACTGCCTTTCTTCAGTTTCATATGAGTGTTTCAATTTCCGCTCGATTTCTTCAATCTCCCTATTTAAATTATTCCTTCTTTGACGGGAAATTCGTGTCTGCATAAGCAGTTCCGTTATTTTTTTCCTGCGTTCCCTGAAGAGAAAGCTGGTAACACAAGTGCTAACGAAGGGCAAATGAGGCCCCAAGCCTGACAGTGCTACTAGTGGAGGAACTGGAGGAAGGAACCAGCACAATGCTTGGAGCCAAACCCTGCCCAGAAGAAATACCACGTAGGCAAAGTTCAGGCTCCAGACTATTACTTGCCCAACTGACGGGGCATTCAAGGGATTAATTTACCACCAGAGCCTTGCCTCCTATGGCTCTGCTCTGCAGCCAGAGCAGAGCCAAAGGAGGCAAGGACAGATGTCAACTGAGAATCCCAAACAAGATCCCACCAAGTCTGAACCTGGAATAGAACCAATTAGAACATTCACCATCCAGCTTTCATTAAATTATCTAAATAATTTACCAATCTTTAAAAATGAGTCAAGAGGAACCTCTAAATTACAGACCCGTATCATTAACAAGCATGGTAATCAAAACTAGAAATAATAGTTCAAGGCAAATGCGTTGAACATCGAGAGTAATGACATACCGGACAAACAGTATAGTTTTTGATCAGGAAAGTCCTGTGTAACAAATCTACTTACCTTTCATGATAAGAGCCACAGCGACAATACAGGAAAGTGGTTGGGTTAAGTGTGTCTATCTAGACCCCCCCCCCAAAAATAAAGGATTTTAACAGTCCCCCACAAATAGCTGTTCTAGAAACTGGAACATGCTGAAGGAGTGACGGAGATTTCTGACATGGATGAAAAACTTTCTGACGGACAGACAGATGAGGGCAGCAATCAGAGACAATGTATCTGACTGGAGGAGTGCTACTAATGGAGTACCACAGGGTTCAGTTCTTGTACCAGTAATGTTCATCGTGTACATAAACAATCTACCAGAAAGAATACAGAATTATTTGAACATGTTTGCAGATGATGCTAAGATACTGGAGAAGATAGGAGATGCAGACAATTGTAATGCCCTTCAAATTGATCTGGATAAAATAAGTGCTTGGAGCATAAAGTAGCAAATGGAATTCAATGTGAATAAATGCTGCATTATGGAATGTGGATTCAGATAAAATAGACCACACACAACTTACAAATTATGTGGAATGTAACTGCAGAAGTCTAATACAGATCGAGACCCTGGGGTGGTTTTGGATAGTAAGTTGTCGCCAGAGGAACACACAAAAGAACATTGTGTGAAGCATATGCGTCGCTTTCCAACTTCAAACTTGCTTTTAACTTTATATATACAAGAGTTTTTATATTCTTGTATATGATATGGATAGTGAAATGCTAAAGAAACTGTTCATGACTTTTGAAACAAACTGGAATATGCAGCAGTTGTATAGTGCCCAAATCTCAAAAAGCACACCAATAAACTAGAAAAGGTGCAGCAGCATGCTACAAAATAGCTTCCAGAACTGAAAAAAAAAAGAATTAGAGGAGAGACTACAGACATTAACCACTGGACTGCGCCAACCGAGAAAACTCTGATTTTTTCGTACCCATTCAAAATGTGTGTGGTTGGTTGTGTTCGAAATGGACTCTTAGGACCTCCAGTGAGAGGCAGCCATCTTGGAACAAATTCCCAGAATGTCCTAGGGCTGCTGGCTAGGTTAGTACTGAGTGAGCAACCATGGGTGGTGCATGTACCTCTGGCTCCCAAACGCCTGTTCGACGCGGTGTTGAAAGATCGCGCGCTGTCTGTGAAATTCAAACCTTATTGTTTGAACATCATAAGGGTCATGATATTGGTGAAGCTAGGCGCAATAAGGACCTAACACAAAGTCAGATGCAAGTGATACAGCGCCTATGAGGACGATACAGCGAGTATATCCAGTTGTAGCTCTGAGTGTCACCCTTGCCCACCCATGCCATCTCCAATTTATATAGATGATACATAGATGAATCGTTTTCTGCATTCAGTGATGATGCATCGATACAAGTAGCATAGATGAACAGTGTTAGTGGCTTCCATGGTGGTGTTTTCCATGGATATTTTCAAGAATAGTTGAATCTCTTCCAGATTGACTGACACTCTTTGAGGCTGGCTGAATCTCTTAGATTGATGGACACTTTTCAAGAGTGGGTGAATCTCTTCCTGTGTGGGACCTTACAAATTGATCTTTTCCTATAATCTTTTCAATACTATCTTATGCTTTCCAAGCTTTGCTACATACCACCTACAAGTACTAAAGTCAAGGGTGTACGTGAGTGCGTTATTTGCAAGCACACAGAACGAAGAAACAGTAAGCAAAAATCTATCTGTACCTGGTGCAACGAGAGCGAAGTCACGCTGTGTACCATGGACTACTTTGTTGATTATTACTCACTTCCGAAGCACCGAGTGTGTAATACAGTGTTACTGTGTAAATAGTGTGAAACTGTACATATTGAAATTTTAGTGATTTTTTAACAAGTAATACTGCGACAATAAATATTTATTGTGGACACATTACTGACATGTATCAGGGAGCCGGTCGGCTGAGCGGACAGCATGCTGGACTTGTGATCCTGTGGTCCTGGGTTCGATCCCAGGCACCGGCGAGAAACAATGGGCAGTTTCTTTCACCCTATGCCCCTGTTACCTAGCAGTAAAATAGGTACCTGGGTGTTAGTCAGCTGTCACGGGCTGCTTCCTGGGGGTGGAGGCCTGGTCGAGGACTGGGCCGCGGGGACACTTAAAGCCCCGAAATCATCTCAAGATAACCTCAAGATATCCGTCATGGAACATTATGATCGTTCTACTGTATACATACTAGTATTGTAAAGGACACAAAGATGCATCATATACAATAAAAAAAATAAAACCGCATTGGAAATACATAAAACAAATAATTGCAAATATATTTGTAGCAACACACGTGGCACTTGAATGGCCCGCGCGGTTGTGTCTGGGAGCTTCACACACGGGCGACCAGTCCCTGATGATGTCACAGCGCACCTTGTCCACATCCTCACGGTCAAAGTAAGTGGAATTTGACATTTATTTTTACAGAGACATGTTCAGGGAAGGGAATTCATCATTTTAATAAGAAAATATAATTTTTTGGGGAACACGATTTCATGCGCACGGGGAATTTCACAAACTCGGCGCATCAGTGGTAAAACATGCCAAAAGAATAAGATAGAAGAAAAAAGAGGTGATGTGATCACCACATACAAAATTCTAACAGGAATCGACCAAATTGACAGGGAGGAATTCCTTAAATCAGCAACATCATGAACAAGAGAACACAGATTCACACTAAGGAAACAAAGGTGCCAAAAAAAAAAAAAACATTAGAAATCTTTCTTTTGCAAATAGTGGGTAGAAGGTTGGAACAAGCTAAGGGAGATGGTGGAGGTCAAAATCGTCAGTAGTTTCCAAGTGTTATATGACAGAGTACTGGGAAACTCATCCTAGAACTACACTTGGGTAGTTACCTGTTTAACACCTGTTATGAATTTAACCTAGGAAGGTACAAAAGCACTGACAAGTTTATATATTATTTCAGTTAATTTTATACAACAGCTACTGACAAATTCTGGGTTTACTGACTGCTGACAAAAAAAAAAATTACAAATCGACCTACAAGTTGGCCTTTTCATTTGTATGGTTTGTGCTAAAATCTGATAAAGCACCTGAAAAAGTTGTCAAAGGAATGGCACAACTTTACAAAACTGGCAGTGGCAGCCTTTCTGATTATTATAAAACTTTTTCTTTTATTTCTTAAAAGTAAATCTTCTATCTTTTATTATAAAACTTACCCTCATCAGGTTTCTTCACAAATTTTGTTCCAAGTAACTGGAATCTTTCACATGCTTTTCCAACATCGGGAACCATGATCCCAATATGGCCTGAAAAAATATGGATTAATATTATACATCAATTACAGAGATTTATGTGATCCTCATTCTCTTCAGCACGGAATATAATAATCATGAGACATTACACTACAAAAAAAAAAAAAAAAAAAAAAAAAAAAAAATTTAAGTCAGCAATATTTAGAACTGACATTCATTAAAGGGAAATAGTTTTTTCAGAAAATATTTTTCCTGTGCATTACAGACAATGCACTGATATAACCTGTGCAATTAGAGGGGTTAAGATGCTTGAGAACCTATGTATGACACCTTTAGAGACTAGGACTGTTGAGTGTATCACTCCAATTACTAAAAACAGTCGTCAGTTTTGTATGATTTAAAATTAGTATACAAGAGCATTGAGATGCTAGAGGATTTTACCATTTTATATCACCACAGCTTGGAATGTCATGAATATCAGTGAAGAATTATTTTTCAACAAAAGTAATAAGGAGAAATTGAAAGTAAAGTAGTTTTCATCTCATGCTGTACTTACCAAAACCTCTTGGCTCTGAATTTCCATTGTGATATCCTGTGAACTTAGGATCAGATTCTGTACCCCAATTGCTGAAAGATTACAAGGCATTACTAATCAAATATTTGCATAATATATAATTATACTGATAATACATGGCAAAAGGAACACATTTTCAACTTCACAAATTTTCTCTCCCTCTCAATACTCATACCGGAATAAATTTGTCACTAAATTTGCATTAACTACAATCTATGAAGTACAATCAGAGGCATAAATGAGAATTCAATACTGAAATCTAGAAAATGAACCCCATGACAAAACTATCAAGACTTGGATGCATTCATGCAATCAGGGAGTATCCCCCTCCCCCCCCCCATCTCTTACCACAGTGAACCCCATTAACACACAATTTCATACAAGATTAAAAATAAGTACTGTACTGTATTTAAAAAAAAAAAAAGATTACAACCAAGGAGCTACTTTGATGCTCTAACAAGCAACCTCAATTCACTTAATTTTACAAGATATCCTGCCACCATGTTGAGAGGTCATTCGCGCTGAAAAACAAAATATTCATAGTACAAATAAACATATAAATAAAATTAAAAACATTAAGAAATAAAAATGGCAAATACAGTATTGATAAATGAAAAAATATTTTAAAATCAAATATTTAACACTTTTGCACCGATTTGTGGGCGGACGAGCGAGCACCACGCCACCCCAAGGTGGTCCTGGCATTCCACGGGAGTGCGCGGTAATACTGAAAAGTGTATACTCTTTTCAACATTGTCATCTCGATTCTCGTCCTAGGTTTTTCCATTTGATATCAATGTGTTTACAATAGAATTCTCTACAGGACTAAAGGCATATAAAGTCCAAAAGCCCGGGGTACCATCCGCAACAAACACAAAGTGAGAACCTGTTACCTGGGAGCACGCAAGAGCAATAAAATGTGTACATTCTTTTCACTTTGGTCACCTCAATTCTCGTCTTAGGTCTTTCATTTTGGTACAATGTGTTTGCAATAGAATTCCCTACAGGAGTATATGCACAATGTCAAAAACTGCAGCGCACTCCACCCGCCGACAAGATGAAAGCAGGCTGTGGTTACTCGCAAGAGAGCACCACACCACCCCAAGGTGTGCCTGGCATTCCATTAGCAAGTGCTGTAATACTGAGAAGTGTATACTCTTTTCAAATTTGTCTTCTCAATTCTCGTCCTAGGGTTTTCAATTTGGTATCAATGTATTCACAATAGAATTCCCTACAGGAGTATATGCATATATATAGTCCAAAAGACCGGCTTACCACTACAGTAAACAGTGAAAGTGACAGTGCATTACCCCCGTGAGCACTCAATCAAGAACAAAATGTGTACAGTATACTCTTTTCAACTTTGTTACCTCAATTCTTGTCCTAGGTCTTTCATTTTAGTATCAATGTATTTGCAATGAAATTCCCTACAGGAGTATATGCATATAATGTCCAAAACCGCAGCATGCCCCTCCCACAGCCAAGCCGAAAGCAGGCCAAATTTTTAAAATTTTCACGCCACACTGCGTCGTTACCAAGCGAAAGTGTTAATGTCATTAAAACAACAAAAGAATCCGAGAGGTGACCAGCTTTCCATGTAGGTTACCTAACCTTAGTCAAAGAGAGACTTAGTACAATATGTGGATATCAAGAACATGAAAACCTTGCATAATTTCCCCAAGATAATTGAAAAATTTGAAAAATCCTGCCTGCTTCACTATTCCATTTAAAGCCCACACTCAAATACCATTCAGACTGAAAAATTAATTACAATACAAAATTTTAAAACACTGTATAGGATGGGATAAGGAAAATAAATGTTGACCAAACCACACACTAAAAAGTGAATAGACGAAGACATTTTGATCCATCCTGGACCATTCTCAAGTCGATTGCGAGAATGGTCCAGGACAGACTGAAACGTTGTCGTCCCTCCACTTTCTAGTGTGTGTGGTTTGGTCAACATATTTCGGCCGCGTTATTGTGACTCCTCGTCTGCAAAATAAATATGCCTTGGCAAAAGAAAAAATCGGTTATCAAATCAGCAAGATTCAAAATAAAACTGAAAGAGCTAAAAGAATCAAGAGAGGAAAATAATAATCTCATTAGAAATAAAGGAAAGCATGCTTTGAGTAATATGAAAGGCAGAATATGAATATGAAAACCTTTCAGAGTAAAGCATACACTGCTGCTCCATCCATTGAATAGGAACATGGCCAGCCAGGCTGGGTGACATGCTGTACAGCACCAGTCACAGATCTTTTCAAACTCTTCCTGCAGGTTCATACAAGTTGCTTGCAAGTAGCTGGAAAGTTCCAGCACAGAAGGACTGCTAGTGGTTCATTCATAAAAATCAATGCCTTATTGAATCCCCCCTTGATATCACAAGTGTTGCCAAGAGAAGGATTTGGTATTTACCAAATGGCCTGCTTGGCAACCTTGGCTGACTGCTACCAGAGTAGTCATTACAGAGGTCTCGTAGTTGGGTGGACAGTGCTCTGGGGGGGAAGGTTCGTAGTCTTAAGGTCCCGGGTTCGAATCCCGGTTGAGGTAGAAATAAATGGGAAGTTTCTTTCACATTAGTGCTCCTGTTCACTTAACAGTAAATAGGTACCTGGGCATTAGACAGCTACTATGGGCTGCTTCCTGGAAATTGTGTGTGTTACATACAGAGAAATATATGTAGTAGACTGTCGTGTCATGCTCCACAGTAATGCTCAAGGATAAGACTTTCCCTCAAAAATCTTCCAACTTTCTGGCCTGCAAGTGAATAAATCAAAGATGTCTAGGGGTGAGGGAAAGTCTAAGTAAAATCCACCAGCTTACTGGGGCGAACTAATCTACATGATGGCTTTATATACACCATTATCTATATATACATATGTATATCCACAACTAAGTAATAATCAATTAAGTCAGGGAATAAGTCAAGCAGCTGTACAAACTGGCCGTACACTAAACGAACACAAAAGTGTCAAGTCTGCAGACAAACAATGATCTCTTCTGTCATGTTAGGGATTCTAATCATCCTATTGATTGGTCTTCTAAAATCTTCCCTGCCTCTACTCTTCACAGACGCAGTCTTGTTGAGTCGACTCTGATACACAACATACCCAACACGAACCTTAATCCTGGCTTTGTTGCTGTTGACTCTTCCCTTTCACAGCACATACAGTACTCAAATGCTCTAACCTTCTTACCTTTCTAATAAACATGGCCTGACAAGCCTACCCATCATTTTTCTCTTTCTTGTTCTTTCTCATCTTATTCTTATGTTCTCATTCCATTATTACCCCTTCTTACACCCTCTATTACACTCATCCCATACATACCTTTTGCCTTGCTCTCATCTTCCTCTAGGTATTTCCTCCTCTTTACCCCTCTCTTGCCTCACTCAATACCCGTTCCTCCCTCGCTCCCATCACAATCCACTTCATGATGGTCCAGGACAGACTGAAACATCGTCGTCGTCTCATCTTCTGGTGTGTGGTTTAGTCTTCAAACAGCTAAATGTCACTAAGTAAAGATCACCTCATAATATTGGTACACTAGATAGCTTAAGACTGGCTGTTAAGTTGTGAACATTGTGGGTAGATGAACAATTTTCTCCATTTCTGTGTTCTTGGTGGTATCCCCCGCTAGGCCCATGTGAGGGGACACGTCCTGGGGGTTCAGCTTTTAGAAGTTTGGTTGGTAGTCTTGGGCGCCAGCTCACACTACCCTGCCTGGGCTTCCCTTAGCATGTTACCAAGGCTAAGGGCCCTGGGAAACCACCCGGGGGCTCCGTGGTCCGATGGATGCGACCCCTTGAATTCCCTCTCGCTTCGTGTAAGATTGATGGCTGCTCTGTCCTCTTGTCTCAGGAAGACACTCACCAGTTGTGCCTCCGCCATTCTGCCTGTTGGGTCGGCGATTCTTTTGACCTGGAGTCGTGCGACATTTGTTCTTTGTACGTGCTCCTGTTCACCCAAGCTACCGATCATGATACGAGTGTGCAGGAGGCAGCTGTGTTGCATGCTAGGTTCAGGTGGCTGCATCGCGATAGATGGGTTGGTTGCTTCCTTGGATGCCCTGAGACTGCCCCGTTTTGGTTTTAGGGACCTGGACTTGGGGGTTGGTGTCGCTTCGACTTTGGTTCCGTCCACCCATCCTTGTCCGTCTCCTGTTGTGCGTCCGGTTCCTCCCCTCCCTTGCTTCCAGCTCCGAAGCGTCTGAGGGTTTCTGAGTCGGGGGAAGGTCTAGTTAGTGTTGAGACTCGGGTGGTCTCAGGCGAGTCCCCTTCCGGGGTGGCAGTGGAGGCATTTGAGCCTGGTCCTCTGGCCAGAGCTAGAGGACCAGGCTTGAATTTAATGCAGAGCAGTGCAGTGGTTAAAAGCGACACTGGAACTGATGCCGTACATGCTAAATCCCCACATATTAACCAAAAATGGCTGTATCCCAAATTTTATTGCACAAACACATTTTTAGGCACCCTGATGCTTGTCTCCAAATGGCAAGCATCAGGGTAATGCTTGCATCTGGGCATGGACCACTTATTTGTATACGAGTTTTGCAATTACAAGTATTTATATTATGGTTACAATATAAATTTTTATACTTGTAGTACTATACCCGAGTCTCTGATTTTTGGTCCTATTTGTTTCGAGACTAGCTGCCAAAGGTGTCCAAGACATGTGACACTTATCCTGGCACTCAAATTTGTTGACAGATTCCTTGGGAACGACTGACTAGAAATGGGGTCAATTTTAATTTTAATACCAGTTTCTGAACACCACCATTACAACCACTGCACCTTTCTATGCCATCTTAAAGTTTAAGTATGGTACAATTTCATAAATCCAGAAGAGAATATAATACTGTATAACCCTTTCAATTTGACAACAAAAATTAACTGATTTCAGTAAGAACCTTGGGAAATTTAGATTTATAATACTTATTCTTACAGGATTCTATTAGAAACTTTTCATGTTTAATTTTTCTGTAATGATGTATTTTTAAAGGGTCTTTGACATTTTTGTGGTTTTGTTCGATATACAGGTGCAGGTGCTATAAATTTTTTTGATGCCAATGTGTGGATACAGACGACCTTACCTTATACACACACACTTCTTTTTCAGATATTGCTCAAAGTTCACTCCCATACCGCAACATGTTAAAATCGCTCAAAGTTCTGCTGCCAGAGACCAAATGATTTGGTAAAGATAGATATTTTCATTGCATCATCAAACTTCTTTAAATGTTTCAAGTTATCTACAGATATTGTATGGACTGCAAATGTGATGAATTATTTCTCAAATTAAAAATAAGTTATGGAACTACCTGTACAGTGCTCAATTTCAATAGCAAGCATATTCTTTACACACAAGAAGTCACAATAGCATGGTATATCAAATGAACAAATCCACAAGGGCCATTTTGAGGGTTCGAACTTACGTCCGGTATGATCCCAGATTCGCCTTAGTCGATTGCACCCCGACATGGTCAAAGAATTGTAACCTGGAGTGCAGCTGCTCCCCACACAGATCCCGCAGCCTCTCAGACACAAACCGGGGTTTTTACACAATTCCCCCATGCACCTGGGCTCTCAACAAGGTGTTCTACCTCTTCGCCCTTACTTCAATACACCCAAGAAATCACAATAGTGTGATATATCAAATGAATAAATCCACAAGGGCCGTGATGAGGGTTCGAACTAATGTCCAGGATGATCCCGGATGCGCCTTAGTGAATTTGTTCATTTGATATATCATGCTATTGTGATATATTGTGTGTGTAAGAGCGAAGAGGTAGAACAGCTTGTTGATAGAGCCCAGGTGCATGGGGGAATTGTGTAAAACCCCGGTTTGTCTTGGAGAGGCTGCAGGATCTGTGTGGGGGCAGTTAAACTCCAGGTTACAATTCTTTTACCATGTCGGGGTGCAATTGACTACGGCGCATCTGGGATCATACTGGACGTAAGTTCGAACCCTCATCGCGGCCTTGTGGATTTGTTTATATTCTTTAGCTCTAGTGTCTATATGAAGAGGCATTTAAGATTATGAGCAGAAATCTTTAAGAAAAAATATACAAGAAAATAGTTATAAAAGCTATAAGGTACCAGAAATGCCTAAAGAGGTAATTATTAATAATAGAAATAAGTAAATGAAAAGACTGTTGCTTCTGAAGTGGTTAATGTTTTCCAAACTGTACATGCACAAATCAAGTAAGGTAAACTAACTGTGTGAGCTCCAAAGTTGCCTTTTGGGAAAAGCACCATGTTGTTCTCTCGTCTTCATTTTGTGGTATGTTTTCAGCCGGTTCAAATCCCATAAAATACAAGGAAAATTTCATGGATGGAAAATCGAGCTTTTTTAATAGTCGCATACCCAGTACTCTAGTGTAAAAGTCCAACGAGGCTTTAGGGTCTTTAATGCGAAACATTGTTTGCTGGAAGATGAAGTCCTGTAGGGAAGAAAGAGACAAAAATTTGATAACAAGGTTTTCTCACAATGACTGTTTCGGTTAATGAAATAACAAATCCAATCATTCCAAAATTGTTAAATACCCCTCCCTTGATCACATATATGCTGAAAATATTGCACTAATGTACTTATTTTGGCCGCAGTGGTGTCCAGAAAATGGGGCATGTGACGTCACGGCTCGGTGGTCGCTCCTGGCAGACTCCCGGAGGCAGTCGCGTACCAGATCCAACAAGCGCGAGTTGCCACAAATAGTTTTATGTTCATTTTTTTCTGCACAATTACAAATGCATTTCTTTTGTTTTTTTTCTGGCTAATCCTATGTATGTTGAACAGGTTTATAATAATAAGGTAGTAAATCATCCGTACTGTTTAACGAAACTATGTTACATGTAACACAAATGTGTCCACAAACACTTCATATTTTCTACATTACATTGTGCAATTATTTACATTTACAACTTATTTACACACTGTACACTATCACAGACTATATACAACACTATGAACACTTAGAACTGCATGAGTGTGTGATAGTCACTGAAGCAGTCAACAGCGCACAAGGCATCTTTGCACTCAATGCACCAAGTGCAGATGGATCTTCGCTTCTGTTCCTTACGTTGCGTGTTCTTGCAAACAATTCAGGAACATCCATCCTTTTCATGTGTTCCTGTGCTTAATATATAACCAAGCTTATGTACAGTAAGGTAATCTTTATACCCGAGTCTGTCAGGAAGTGTGTGAGGCATTGTTGCTGGTACCCCATGTGGACCAACACTGCCCACCACCCCATATTTCATCAGCAGTTGCGACACTAAAGCAACACTGAATGAACGGATAGGTGGTTTCTTACCAGATTTCACAAGATACATGTTAAAACAGTTCAGCACTGTAACGTCAACAAGGTGGAAAAACAATTTCTTGGTCCACTTCACAGATTTTCTCACACACTCGACTGCAACAACCATCATATCACATTTATCTACTAAATGCATATTTACACTGCAGTCAATGACACAATCAGGTTTATACATTTTCACCCCTGTTGCAAAGTTGACTTTGCCACTGTCCAACATTGTACCGGTGTGAACAGTTGTCAACATATTCACCTCACATCTGTCCCTCCACCACACCGATAACATTTTATCACACTTTCTCAGTTGGCATTCACCTACTGCAATACCAATGCCAAACACTGGCATTTCCCTCCAGTGTGTCTTGACAGTGCCGCATACGCTGGTGTTGTGGTCAAGGAGGAATCTGGTCAGCAAGGGGCTGGTATAATAGTTGTCAATGTACAGGATATGCCCCCCTTGTTCAGCAATGATTCCATGAGTGCTTTCACGACACTGCCTGAGAACCCATGTGGATCTTGACCTGGTATGTCAACGCCTGTACCTGAATACAATATCATGTCCATGACCATACCAGTTTCACAGTCACATAGCGCAAAGAACTTTCATCCAAACCTGTGCCGCTTTGATGGAATGTACTGCTTGAACACCAGTCGTCCATTAAAGAGAACTAGCAATTCATCAATCACGACATTCTGTGCTGGTACAAAATAGTTATGGAACTTTCCTCTCAAATCACTAAATAGCTTCCACACTTCCCACAATTTGTCGTGTCTTTCTTTATTAACACTGTTCTCAAAGTGGAGACACCTGAGAAGCAGCAGGAACCTATCACGTGACATGTACTTGTTGAACAAGGGGGTTGGAACAAGGCTGTCTTTGTTCCAATAATCCTGGATTACATGTTTTTCTGCATGCTTCATCATCATGCATAACACTAAAAACACATACATTTCCTCAATAGTCATGTCTTTTCAACATGTCATTCGAGAGGCAGGTAAAATTCCAGAGACCATGAGTTGCAGAGCATATCGGTTCATCTCTGCAACGAGATGCTCCATGAATGGCTGATCGAAATATGCCATTAAATAATAAATTTCAGCCATATCATCACCAGTATAGGAGAAAAAGGATGTCACACCAACATCGGTATCATCAAATGATACCAATTTGTGGGACAAAAATGTCACAATCCTCCTACACAAGTACACCCATGTTTTTGGTTTTGACACCATCACTGCCTACCTGAGCACGAGCACCACCAGCACAGGCCCCAACAACATGGCTTCATCGTCTTGTGCTAGAGCTGTGTACAAGTATGGCATTAGATGAGGCATTCTGTGTAGTATAGGCCTGCCACGAACACCTGATGTCGAGAACACACTGTCGTCTTTGTCCTCGGGCCGCGTGACACGCTGGCGCTTGCCTCAGCATGTTGCTGGCAGAGGGAAACTCCACCTAATAACACTAAAGCTGCTTGCACTCGGTTCATAAACACTGCTTGTATCTCAGCATATGTCACTGAATCCAGAAAATGACTCATCACCTATACTATCACTCAGTAGACTCACGTCAGGTGACACAGATGGTGATGGTACATCCATTGGTGTTGACCTAGGGTGGCGTGGCATGGCAAGCTGGCCGAGGCGTGTGTACTGTACACACACATCACATCGTCCACCTCAGTGTCCATATAACTACTGTCAGACCCCTGTGTAAGGTCTTTCTCAGGGCTGGTCTTCATTGTCACTAATATGTTCATCTTCAAACAATATGTTCAGTATTTCGGTCTCTGAGAGTCGTTTTTCAACATCGCAGCTGACCGTGGATCGGAAGCTCAATGATGCATCAGATATGATTGCTACTTTGAAACTGAGGCTTCCCACAGCCATTGGGCATGCTGGGATTATTTTTTAAATGGCGCACGATCACTGAATGCCTCAGGCATCCATCTTGTACCCAAGTCACAGCGCGTCAGTTTTGAATCTTACGATATACATTACCTACAATCTCTATATGGCATTCTGTGCATCCTCGATCCAGTGCCACATGGCGCTCTGCACAGTGCAGTGGTTAAAAAACTAGTGTTGAATGTAATGAAATGCAATGCCTGGAAAAGCAAGACTGACTTCTAAACATACAACAAATCAACAACATGCCGGCATCAAACAGTCGCAACCGACAAAAACTAAGAAACAATATCCTCGGGAAATAAACTAAAGAGGGAAGCCGAAGTAAGAACCAGGGCCACAGTTGAAAGACTGGCCAGCACGGCCTGCCGACGTGCAAGACGGGAGGTGAAAACATAAGAACCACTTCCCAGAGGATCGGATTACAGCTGAAGAAAGGCAGCCTGCGCCAAAGCTGCAGAGACCATAACCCCCCTCCCGCAAAAGGAGGGGGTTACCTCACAGAGCAGCCCCGCATCCACCTAAGGCCAACCAGAGTGAAACTCTTGGAGGTTCAAGAAACACATGACAGAAGCAAAATGCAAGTGGATACGATGATCATCGGCAACCAAAGCAGCCAACAGAAGGGGAACCAGAGCGTGCAGCTGCACAAGATCCACGTCATGGGCAGAAGCAAAGAGAATCCCACTTGACTCGGGATCATCATATCTGGAGTGTGTTTTGGGAGGAGTTCTATTCCCAGAGCCCAGCCTGGGACTAGGCTAAACTTGCGATAAGTTGGTTCAACAGTCTGTTGCTTGGAGCGGCCCGCAGGCCCGCATGTCCATTTACAACCTGGCTGGTCGGGCACTTCTTGCAAGAACTTGTCTAAGTATCTTGAGGACAACCACCTTTGTTCCCTCAATATTTCTAATGCTTGCTGGGAGGATAGTGAACAGCCGTGGACCCCTGATGTTCAGACAGTGTTTTCTGATTGTGCCTATGGCACCTCTACTCCTCACTGGTTCTATTCTGCATTTCCTTCCATATCTTTCACTCCAGTATGCTCTACTGTGCAAATTTGAGACCTGGCCAGGTCAAAGGTGTCACTGACCCAACAGGCAGCATGGCGAACACACAACATAGGAACGTTCTATGCACAGCAAGCAATTAGAAAAGAACTGCTTACCAGCAGTAAATTAGCAAGTTCATAATAATTTTTGGGTGTTTGGAAAAGGAGATACCATCTAGGGTGGACAGAGCAGCAGAAGGGGGGGGGGGGGGAAGTCATCGAGAAAATAGTAGATTTAGGAGAAAGCTTTTAGGAGGACACGTATACTGTATATGAAAAGATTAAGAATGGCTCTTAACCTTTAGGTGGCGATTATCATCTATTAACGATCCTGAGGGTAACGTGGTTATCATATGACAATTTAAAAAATTATTGTCTGGATTTTACATATATGATGCAAATATGAATATATTAGCTCTGTGGATGTAAATAAAGACAAACAGTGATAAAACAATCAGTGAAACATCCGAGGATAAAACAGGAAGCGTTAGCAAAGTCAAGCACCGGGTGTTTATTAGTGCCAGACGCAGCCTTGCATAGTGCCTCCACCCAGTGATATTATAAATATTCATGATTTTTGTGTTTTTCTTACATTTTGCATACAAGCTAATAATTCTATAATGAAAATTTGTTTAAAAATTTTTTTTTCCGAATAGGCGAGTATGATCATACCCTATGCGCAAAATAGGCAAGTATGGTCATACCCACCTGCTCCATAGCTGCTGTCCAAGGGTCACATTTAATGGAGAGCAACAAATTATAGAAGTGCTTTGGAATGCCAGGTGATTGCAAAATGAAGATGGGAAACTGAAAAAAGCTTTTGATAAGAATCCCATGTAAGAGGTTCTGGAAACGAACATGCTGGATGAGTGACAGGCAGATTACTGACATGGATGAAAATTTTTCTGACAAAGATAAGGGCAGTAATCAGAAGCAATGTATCAGACTGGAGAAATGTCACTAGTGAGTACCACATGGTTCAGTTCTTGCAACAGCCATGTTTATCATCTATATACAGTAAGCAATCTACCAGAAGTAACACAGAACTATATGAACATGTTTGCTGATAATGCTAAGCTACTAGGAATAAGAGACCTAGATAATTGTTATGCCCTTCAAAGTGACCTGGACCAAATAAGTACAGAGCAACATTTAGCAAATAGAATTCAATGTGAATAAATGCCATGCTGTGGAATAGGAGAAAATAGGCCACACACACAGCAAACAAAATGTGTGGAGATGCATTAACCCTTTAACTGCGCAACGCGCCTGCAGGCCCAGGCTTCGGGTGCGCAACACGCCTCTGGGTGTTTTTATTTTTCACGTTCCATTCAAAACTCCCGCGGCTACATGGGGTTCACATCAGCTTCCTCAGGGCTCTTGTAAACAGATGCCATTTTAAAAAAAAATCATGGTCCACATTGCCGGGTGTCAGAGCCTCAGTAGTGAGTGAGCAACCAAGGCTGGCGCTCGCAGCATGAGCGCACAGCTCTGCTGTTCAGCGTGTGACCAAAGCATCGCCTAATAATGTCAAAATATATATATAACCTGTATTATTTAGCCATGATAGTATTATAGAAGAGCCCAAGTGTGATAATGACTGGGTACAATGTTCAAATATCAGTGATTCAATGCTGTTCACGATGTTCACAGCGCTAGCCACAGCACCACAGCATTATTTCGTCCATCTAGGAATCTTCAAACGACTTCTTAGGTTCCTTTACAAAATAAACTTGGTCAATTATTCATTTACAAAAATTAGTGACCAGGATTGTGGTTATAATTAGAGTGTGCGTAGTATTGTGGAAGGAGGAATTTTGGTGAGGGAGGGAGAGAATTGAGGTAGCCTCACTGTGGCAGCCACTCTTGTTTTGCTCACCATACTAGCTTCATGGTTCACTATGGGAAACACACATGTACATGGGTATATACAGTGTGTGTGTGTGTGTGTGTGTATATAGTGTAATAATAGCAACAGGAGTATGTTGAGCGGAGCTATTTTGGTGAGGGAGATGACATCGTAATCGTAGCGTCATCTGCTGTCTGCTGTGTGATTTCTCATGCAGTGTATGGTGGCCACTACTGTTTGGACACAATACCGGCTTACTTGCATAGTTCTGGTAAATAAAACGTGTAGATAAGTATATATAACTTGTGTAAATAGTGTAATAAAAACAATAACAATATGGTGGGAGGAGCAATGTTGGCAAGTAAGATGGTGGAGTGAGGGAGGGCCTGTCTGGGTTTGGCTGCTCACACTCCCGATGTTCTGAATGTGTTGATGGTAAATGTATATAGTGTGTGACAGTGTATAGTGTGTACATATGTTGTAAATATACATAAATGAACATGAAACATTGGTGTGAATAACTGTATGATGGGAGGAGCAATGTTGGCGAATACAATGTTGGAGGAGTGAGGGAGGGCTGGCTAGGTGTGACAGCTCACACTCGCGGTGTTCTGAATGTGTTGATGGTTAATGTATATAGTGTGTGACAGGGTATAGTCTGTAAATGGATTGTATATATACATAAATTAGCATGATACATGGTATATATGTGCAACATGTGTGTACACAAGTGTCATGCACATAACACAGTGTCCTTGGACAGTACGGATGTTTTACTGCCATAATATAGTGTACGTATTCATTATACATAGGATTAGCACGTAAAAACAAATAAAATGTATGTGGAACTGTGCACAAAAAATGAACAAAAAATATATTTGCGCCAATTCACACACCCCGCCCCGGGCGCCCCATGATCACTACTTACAAAATAATAACAGGACTCTATAAAATTGGCAAGGCAAGGTGGAATTGTTGAAATCTGCAACTTCAAGAAAAAGAGGTTATAGACAGGACAGGACACAACAAGCAAAGCTCTCATTCTGTAGCTACACTTAGATAATTACACACTTGCATATTACCATTATAAGCAATTCTTACCTTTGTGGATTCATCTGGGTTAGCGCAGCAAGCAACTGCCTCCTCGTTGGTCAGGCATGTTGGTTCCTCAGCCATGACAGATGTTTTGCAATCTGGTGCACAACTAAGTCTGGAAAAAAAACTATAGTTGAATAAATAAAATTAATTTGCTATGAAACTCGCCATTTAAAAACTAGAAGTAGAGGTCATTGTAACGTTCATTTATGTATACGGGTTTCAGTGACAAGAAAGAATTTAATGTTTTATATTTAATAGTGTTGGTTCCAGCAGTCAGTTGTTGTCAATGTAGTGGCATGTTGTGACAGCTGAGACGAAGCCTGCAGCAGGAAGCTCGAGTAAGCCTGGGGCTAGAACTTGGATGTGGGGCGAGAGCGCCAAGATCTAACGTGGGACGAGAGCTGGAATCTCGGATACGGCCAGAATCAGACTGTCTGCTCTATAGCAAGACAGAAGCATCTTGTGAGACAGGAACTTGACAAGTGTTATATTTTTGCTGGTGAATATCGACGGTGTTCAAGATCCGAGGTGCATCTCTAGCCACTGCACTGCACAGAGCGCTTTAAGGCACCCGATCAGGGGTATGCAGAGTGCCAAAAGGTGCTTTTAGATATAGGAAACAATTCAAAACTCCCACGGGGCTCACGTCCTGTGCCTCAGGACTTCAGTAAACAGAGACTATCTTGAAAATAAAAATCGTCAGTATCCGTACTGGCTGTAAGAGCCTCAGTACCGAGAGAGTAACCAAGGCTGATGCATGCAGCAGATGCTCACAGCACCACTTAATAATGATGAATAAAATAGGTAACTGCAATTATTGTGTGTTGACAGTCAAAGACTATGCACAACACTCAGATATCAGCGAATACAATGCTGGTTATGATATTCATGGCATGAGGTAGAGAGAGAGACAGCACCCATTTATTGTTTCCTGCATTTACCCAATCATGAAACGACCATAATCCTTCACAATACTGTATAACCTTGTGGAAATAAATTTGTATTCGGGATTCTGTGACAGGAATGTGATAACAGCAGCAGTTCTGTAGCTAATCATAGCGAGATGTGTGAATTTTGGAGGCATTGTCTTGCATCAAGTGACTGCTGGCGTCATCTGCTTGTGTCATCTGGCTCTATGCTGTCTTGATTTCATCACCATACCCACCAAAATTGCTTATTGGTTTGTTATGGTGCATATATATGTTGATAGTAATATATAATGTGTGTATATAGTGTAAGAACAGCAAGTACAGTACGTTGGGAGAATCGATCTTGGCCAGTGAGGTAGCGTTGTCAACTGATTGGTGTGTGGTGACGCTATGCTCTTTGGACTCGCCAAACCAGCTTAGTGGTTCGTTATAGGGCACAACAATGTAGTTATATATAATGTGTGTATATAGTGTAATCAGAGCAAAAACCACAGATTGATCTAAGAATATAACATACGTGTCATTATACATAAAGCCCAATATTTTTTAGCATAGTGATGTTCCACGCATTCAATCCTTTGGCATTCTGGGCCCCCGAGCGCTCCACTACCCCGGGTGGGTTTGGGCGTTCCGTGGGAGCGCGAGGGGAGAACGCGGTAAATTCTGAAAAGTGTATACAGGTACTTTCTTCAACTTTGTCAGCTCAATTCTCGTCCTAAGACTTTCAATTTGGTATCAATGTGTTTGCAAGAGAATTCTCTACAAGACTAAATGCATATAAACTCCAAAAGCCCGGCTTACCATCCGCAGCTAACAGAGAAAGTTACCCCGGGGGCGCACAAGAGTGATAAAATGTTTACACTCTCTTCAGTTTTGTCAACTCAATTCTCGTGCTAGGTCTTTCATTTTGGTATCAACGTGTTTGCAATAGAATTCCCAACAGAAGTATATGCATATAATGTAAAAAACCAGCGTTGAATGTAATGAAACGCCATTTTCTGGGTGAGACCCGGAGGCTCCCCGGAGCTTTACCGGCTGATATGCTAATGTCAGACTTTGGCATCAGTCATGTGTATGGAGTTCTAGGGCCTACCGGGGACCACGGCCAGAACCTGGCCCCCCTCAGAGAGGCACCCGAACCCCCAGAACAGGAATGAGGGGAAGACAGGGAACGCGGTCAACCAAAATGCGTCCACGACCCGAGAGACCAAGACGCGCAGAGAACACACAAAAAAAACGCAATTGAACAACAAAGGACAAAGGAAGCATCCCCGGCCTGACCAACCAAGCAGCAACCCAAGGACCAAAACGAGGAGAAGAAAGACACTAGACCACCCGTGCCAACGACCAGGATGGCACCAGAAACTTAAGAGCAGGCTGCAGGTGAAACAACGCCCAAGACAGCAAGCGGAATGGAGCAGAAGGAACAGCAACACCGAAAGCAAGCTGGAGCGGCTCCGCCAGCATAACCCAAGACGAGGCGACAGTACTCTGTCCCAGAACAACCCCAAAGGGAAGACAAGCCAACTCTATCAGAGACCGAAGGACCCTTCGCAGTGATTGGAAAACCAGATGGTACTGACCTGGAGGACCGCCAGGAAAACTACACACTGCCACCGAGATGAAGCACGCAGGTGGGAGACCAACAACGATGCCATCAGTGCCCACACAAACGACGAGACACTAGAGACAAAATACCCGAGACGCGAAAACTTGAGGGGAAGAACAAACCAGCCCTGTACAAAGCTGGACCAATCCGCAAAGAGGCGGAGCTGCAGTAAGACCCACAGGACCGGAACCGAGGAAAGCAGCAGGTCTTGCCAAGGCAGGCAAAAACCAAAAGCAAAAGAAAAACCCCGCAAGAGGAAAACGTACCCAGGCGGAACAGAGCCGGCTGCTGTTATTGGCAAAAACTAGCTGTGCAGTACCTCGTGCTTCTACCAGTGAAGAAAACTACCTCATACCCAGAGACAAACAAGGGCAACAAAACCCCAGCCGACTCCAAGGGCGACCCAGTACCGAGCGGTAAAGGACGCAGCGGAGGTAGAACCCAAGGTGACCTGTGAAAGGTGGCCCCAAGCCCCAAGGGCAGTACTTACAGGGCACCTAGGGAAGAGAGCCCTAGGCACATGCAGCCCAAGTACCGTGGAATCTCACTCCTATCTCACACCCCACCGGTAGAGACAGTCCACACCACAAGGCACAGAACAAACAAAAACCAGAGCCAGAGGCACTCGACCAGTTAGTAATTACATCAGCCACGAACTGCCAGCTGGATTGCCAGTGCAGATGGTCTGGGCTCCCCCTTCCCCATGTGTGTGTTGCGCAGAGGGCGGCTCGGCAATGTGATGACGTCATGCTAGTTTGATAATTTTGTTAGGGGAGTTCTGTCCACTCTTTCGGCTTTCGGTAGCAATATTTTCACCATTCATATTTCACCAATCTGGGTGCCTGTTCTGGTTGATGGCAAACATAAAATGCTCCCAACCACGGGGGGGGGGGGGGGGGTATAGGCCATTGCTCCTCGTGCCTCTTGAGGGGGCCAGGTTCTGGCTCGTGGTCCCTGGTAGGCAAGAACTCCAAGCACATTAAATGAACAAATCCAAGCACATTGACTGATGCCAGAAAGTTATACATATCCATTCAGCCTGGATAGCTCTGGGGAGCTGATGGGGCTCCCCCCCAGAAATTTACATTCATCACCACCAGTAAAGCACTCAGAAAGATATGTGAACCAAAACAAACTACTGCATGGTTTAAAAATGAGACCACAGCTTCAAAGTTGCCAAAAGAACTCCCCCAAACAATGATAACAACACACCAAAATTTCATGAAACTACTGCCTGATAGTTTGGGGGAAGGAGGGAGATGTACTGGGTCAGCCGACTTGCCCCACGTTCAGGTCTAAGAAGATGAAACAAACCGACACCCTGGGGGAAGGAGCCTCTGGGGCACATCAAGAAATTGGCATTTCATTACATTCAATGCTAGTTTTCTGGGGAAAGCCCCCCGTCAGCTCTCTGAAGCAAATTACAATGGAACCTCAATTCAACGAATCTTCCACAAATTCTTGTTCGCTGAAGTGGGTGATATGGGGATATGCTTAGGACGTTGGGACAGAGTTCACAGACTGGTGGAAAACTTGCTTATTTATTTATTTATTTATTTATGCATATACAAGAATGTACATAAGGAATGTGAGGATACAAATATGGTAATTACAGTCTTGTAAAGCCACTAGCACGCGCAGCGTTTCGGGCAGAAACGCTGCGCGTTTATCATATCATAGATTATCATATCATATCATAGATTAAAAATTTAAGAGTTCCTTAATGAAATCAGCCCACAGTGTGGGAAATATTAGAGTATGAATGAATGGTAACTCTTAATATAGCTCCAATCACGTTTTTAATTATTTTTGAAGATTTTTTTTTGGGGGGGGATAGTAGAGAGGATGGAGAGACATAGGTGAAGGGAAGATTAGAAATAGGAAATACAGTGAGTTATGAAGCAGGCGGGCTATTCGCTTTGCTGACGCAATGTAATTACCTAAGTGTAATTACCTAAGTGTAGTTACAGGATGAGAGCTACGCTCGTGGTGTCCCGTCTTCCCAGCACTCTGTCATATAACGCTTTGAAATTACTGACGGTCTTGGCCTCCACCACCTTCTCACTTAACTTGTTCCAACCGTCTACCACTATTTGCGAAGGTGAATTTTCTTATATTTCTTCGGCATCTGTGTTTAGCTAGTTTAAATCTATGACCTCTTGTTCTTGAAGTTCCAGGTCTCAGGAAGTCTTCCCTGTCGATTTTGTCAATTCCTGTTACTATTTTGTATGTAGTGATCATATCACCTCTTTTTCTTCTGTCTTCTAGTTTTGGCATATTTAATGCTTCTAACCTCTCCTCGTAGCTCTTGCCCTTCAGTTCTGGGAGCCACTTAGTAGCATGTCTTTGCACCTTTTCCAGTTTGTTGATGTGCTTCTTAAGATATGGGCACCACACAACAGCTGCATATTCTAGCTTTGGCCTAACAAAAGTCATGAACAATTTCTTTAGTATATCACCATCCATGTATTTAAATGCAATTCTGAAGTTAGAAAGCATAGCATAGGCTCCTTGCACAATATTCTTTATGTGGTCCTCAGGTGATAGTTTTCTATCTAGAACCACTCCTAGATC